AAGAATAATGTGTAACTAAAGGTAATAATAAAAAAAAATTTTTTAATTATTATTATTCTGTAAGTAATTGAGTGGGTTATGATAAAAAAATCACCCTGTATATTCTAATTACTATTAAAATTTATATATCAAAATGCTTATTCTAATTAAGAGATATAAAGTATTCATTCCGATTACGAGGGATGATTTCCGTATCGTCATTTTTTGTCACTACCTCCACGTTCCAGGAGTGAGTAATTTACGCGCCTGCTACTTTCCTTGGATGTGGTAGCCGTTTCTCAGACTCCCTCCCCGGAATCGAACCCTGATTTCCCGTTACCCGTAACAACCATGATATTGATAGTAACTACTATCATAACATGAAACTAAAAAGTAAAAAATAAATATAGTTTAAAAAACTAAAAAAACACGCTTATATTAGTTTCACCTGTATGTATGTATGTATGTATGTATGTTTGTAACTCTCCAAACGCCACGCGTTATCGCATATTGCGTCGTCTAGACTAGACTGTCATAACGCATTCACCCCACCCTACCCCTCGCTCTTCACACGATGGCAACACTATTCCTCTGTATAAATTTATTTTTGGTTATCGTACTCATGTGCTTGTCATCAATATTATATATATATATATAAACAAATTTTTATTTTTACTGACTAATACTATCCGCGTACCATACGGCTTACGTATATATTACTACTGCCGTTTATACCTCAAGTATAACGTTAGTCCGACCCGCCCGCTCACAAAACACGACTGTACCTAATGCATGATACGTTTACGTACTTGAGTCGCATTACATGTATATATATATATATATATATATATTCTAATTACTATTAAAAATATATATTAACACACTTTATTCTTATTTAGAGATATAGAACTCATTCATTCCGATTACAAAGGATGAATCCAGTATTGTCATTTTTCGTCACTACCTCCACGTTCCGGGAGTGAGTAATTTACGCGTCTAGTGCTTTCCTTGGCTGTGGTAGCCGTTTCTCAGACTCCCTCCCCGGAATCGAACCCTGATTCCCCTTAACCCGTTACAACCATGATATTGATAGTAACTACTATCATAATATGAAACTAAAAAGTGAAAAATAAATATAGTTTAAAAAAACTAAAAAAACACGCTATTAAAGCACATCACACTAAAAAGTTAAAAATAATTTTAAAAATAAGCTTAAAACAATAATGAACGAAAAATACTAGTATTGTTGTGATAAAAGCGTGGGTGCTTTGTGCCATATTTTTCGTATATTGAGTGCCGGATGCTTTTATTACAATAATACTAATATTTTTCGTTCATTATTGTTTTAAGCTTATTTATTAAATTATTTTTAAATTTTTAGTGTAATGTGCTTTAAAAGCGTGTTTTTTTTGTTTTTTTAAACTATATTTTTAGTGTACTAAGACTTCTATAAGAATGATTTATTACAGTTGAATTGACAAAAATAAAAATCTAAATTTATCGAAATTTTGAGCTTTTCTCATAAATTTACTGATAATAATAATTATACAATTTCCTGAACGCATATTAATCTTAACAATACCATTTTTTTCAATTCTCATAAAGTATTTTATGATATCAATACCAAACTTGCAAGTTGAGCTAAAAAAAATTAAGATAAATAATTAAAATTTTTTAAATTAAAACTTTATAAATATCAACTTAAAATAAGCAAAAAAATAGGTTGAACAAAAAATGTTGAATCGAAATTTCGCACGGAATATTTTAATAAATAAAAAAAGTTTTTTTTGATTTAATATTTTTTTTACATGTAAATACACGATTTTACTAATTAGTAATAATCTCAAAATAGAAGCGAAAAAAATTCTAGTTGCAGATTTGAAATCGTCAAGAAATAATAATAAATTATTTTTTTTTTATAGTTTAATACTCATAATTTGGTGGACGCTTTTAAGGAGGATTGCAGTCTCATCAAAGTCTTTTTTGACTATGCTATTTATGTATATACAGTAAGAAAACAGGTTTCTATTGTTCTCATTGTTTATAAAAAATTACCTGTTTAATTACTCACTGAACACTATGCATTTACTTGAATGTGTGTTACCCTGTCACATTGTAACCGTGCCCAACTGACAACTTTGTATTAGTTAGTTACAACTATGTATTCTATATAGATGTTAGAGGTAAACATATTCTACAATTTAAAATAATTACATTTTAATTATGCAGTTATTTTTGAATATTTTTTGTGAATTACTTAATAGCTATGATGAATAGAAGTTTTTTTTCTGAACTTATATAAATTTTTATATATAAAAATAGTTATTTTGTATTTTTATTATTTAAAACACCATAGAATGAATAAAATATATTTTGTGTATTGAATTATTTTTGATTATTTGTTTTATGCTAAAAATCCACCTAAAAGAACAGTTTTTAAATATTTGTAAATATTGTAATTCGATTGACGAATGAAATTCGGATGGGAGTTTCGGTCCAATTTTTTTATAATTTCAAAATAGCATTTTTAATTACTACTAAAATTAGAAAAATATACAGCAACATGACAAAACAATATAGCCATTTTTACTAATTATATTTTGGTTTACATAGGTTATTTTTGTAATATAATTTTATTTGGTCCTTCAATTCAACGACGTAGTTTTTACTAAATTATCAGTGTGCAATTATTATCCTAATGAAATAATTTATTAATAATGTTAGTAATANCTCGTATGTTTTAGCAATTATTATCCTAATGAAATAATTTATTAATAATGTTAGTAATATATGTAAAAAAACATTTAAAAAGGATATGGAACTATACAAAATTTACAAAATTTGATGTTTGAATGAAATTCTGTAATTGACAATCGTTTAGAAAAATGAAGGATAATATAGAAAATATGCTACATTCCCTCCTAATTTTTTATACTATATTACTTAATATGTCAAAAAGTAACGGCTTAAATGCATTTTACCACTCCATCGAGTTTTTTCAATTTTTTTTTTTTTAATTGATTCAGTTTTTTATACTGATTAAAAATATATAAAAAATTTTTGTCAGCGAAGTCCAGATTAAAAATTATAAGCTTTTCAACAATAATTTTCAAAGTTTTCGAACATCATTGACAAATTTTGTTATATACTGCTGTTCTTTTTGTTTTTTGCATTAATTCATTAGAAAAATTATTCTAAATGATGTAGTAATCGAATTTTATTTATTTAATTATACTAAAAAAATATTTATATATGTGTAGGTACTAAAATAAAAAATTTTACGTCGCGCCGTGCAATTCAAACTGTTCCTGAAATGGTATTACTGATACATTTTATACATACAGTATCAGTTTCAATATAATATTTATAAAATGTTTTGTATTTTTAGCTTCGATGCGAAGCTGAGAAGGTATTGGTTTTACTATGATGTGTTTTTTTTTTTTTTTTTTTTTTTTTTTTTTTTTTTTCCCTTTT